TTGTTTTGAAGCCATCAGATAAAGTGAACTTAGAGTCCTGGGTTTGTTGCTTATTAGCTATTGATCTTGACTGACCTTGGTCTCTGAACTTTAGTTGCTTCTTCTACAAGATGGTAATGAAAATAATACCCACCCATAAATACCAGTTGCTGCTGAGTCAGTTCTGACTCATAGTGACCCCATGTGTGCAGAGTAACTGTGCTCCGTAGGGTTTTCAGTGGTGGATTTTTTGGGACATAGATTGCCAGGCCTTTCTTCTGAGACACCTCTGGGTAGACGTAACCCTCCAACTTTTTGGTTAGTAGCTGAGCACTTAACCTTTTGCACCACCCAGGACTCACAGGTGATGATGTCTGTAAAGCATTTAGCATAGGACCGTGCACATAATAGACGTTCTGTAAATGGTAGCTCTTACTGTTTCAGGTCTCCCAGGTGTTGAGGCAGAAGAAGCTCTTGAAGAAGACTCGCACAGGCCGTTAATTAGTGGTGCTGAAAATGAAGATGAGTATGAGCCTGGTTACTCAGTCCAGGAAGGCGATACTGTTACCCAAGTCAAGGCAATAAGCTTCTATCAGGCCTGTTGCCTTCCCGGAGTTATACTGGTAAGGGCCAGGCACCTCTCCTTCCTGCCAGCAGGGAGCCGTCGTAGCCCTGAGGTTTCCTCTGCCTGGGATAACGCATCTTTAAGTATTTAGCCTCCTTTTGGTCCTCTTCGGCAGGATATATGCTCAGAGGAGTAGTGTATAGTGCCCCTTAGCTTGTTTCTGTATTGGCACCGTGTGAAATATCTCACCCAGGGTCAGCAAACCTTTCTGTAAAGAGCCAGAGAGTAAATAAGTGCAGCATTGAGGGGACCATATGGTCTCTGCCACAGTACTCAGCTCTAGAGCAAAACAGCCCTAGAGGACACGTAGCCCCCAGGCGGGCCCTAGTTTGTTGACCCTGGTCTAGCACGTGACTAAGAAGGCCAAGCTGATATTTGATAGACCAAGAAGGGCTGTGACTGGTTCATCAAGCCTGCTTATTTGCCTACATTCTGATCATTCTGCGAGAAGGTCTGTTTGCCCTTTCGTTACAAGGCCCGGAACACAACACTGCACAGTGCCCTTGGCAGTGCGGGCCAGTGTCTCCACAACCTCTGCAGTCTGGAAGCTCGCTAACGTCGCTACTAAATCCCCGCTGCTGCAGCTTTTCTCGGTGTTTCGGGAGCTCTAGCTCTGCAGTGAAGGTTAAGAGGCCTAGGTTATGTGTCCAGCTTACCACTAACTTTCTGTGAGACCTGGGGTAAGTCACTCAGCTGTCCTGTGTCTCAGTCCCCTCCTGGGGACTAGAACTCACACCAGCCTCCCCTGGGATGTGTAGCACTGGGCTGTGGGGTTGGGAATAAGGACTTGTCTTTGGGTTTTTTGTAATGTTATTTTTTTATGATGCTTTATAAATGTAGACTCAAAGTCTACCAGTCATCATATTTCATACTTGTCACTTGCCTCCCACCTGTGCCCCGAGGCTAAGAGAACCACAGCAGGTGGCC